TATCTATCTATCTATCTATCTATCTATTTTGATCTGTTCAGACCGAATCCATCTATCTATCTATCTATCTATCTATCTATCTATCTATATCTATCTGGGTCTGTTCAGATCAATCCATATCTATCTATCTATCTATCTATCTATCTATCTATCTATCAGGTCTGTTCAGGACCAATCCTATCTATCTATCTATCTATCTATCTATCTATCTATCTATCTATCTATCTACAATCTGTTCTGATTCATCTATCATCTATCCATCTATCTATCTATCCATCTATCTATCTATCTATCTATCTATCTGTTCATTCAGATCTATCTATCTATCTATCTATCTATCTATCTATCCATCTATCGTCTTCTCTATCTATCTATCTATCTATCTCATCTATCTATCTATCCATCCATCTATCTATCTTTATCTATCTATCTATCTATCCATCATCTATCTATCTATCTATCCATCTATCTAGGTCTGTTCATTCAGATCTATCTATCTATCTATCTATCTATCTATCTATCTATCTATCTATTTGATCTGTTCCCAGATCGAATCTATCTATCTATCCATCTATCTATCATCTATCTATCTATCTATCTATCTATCCATCTATTCTGATTCATCTATCTATCTATCTATCCATCTATCTATCCATCATCTATCTATCTGAGTCTATCATCTACCAATCATCTATCTATCTATCCATCTATCCATCATCCATCTATCTATCCATTATCCAGTCTGTTCCATAAAGATCTATCTATCTATCTATCTATCCATCCATCTATCCATCTATCTATCCATCCATCTATCTATCTGTTCATCCATCCATCTATCATCATCCATCTATCTATCTATCTATCTATCTATCTATCTATCCATCTATCTATCTATCCATCCATTCAGATCCATCTATCTATCTATCTATCCATCTATCTATTCATCTATCTATCCATCTATCTATCCATCATACATCATCCATCTATCCATTTATCTATCCATCTATCCATTCAGATCTATCTATCATCCATCCATCCATCCATCCATCTATCTATCTCAGTCTGTTCAGATCTATCTATCTATCATCCATCCATCTATCCATCCTATCTATCCATCTATGGTCTATTCATCTATCCAGTCTATCCATCATCTATCCATCTGTCTCCATTCATCTATCTATCTATCTATTCATCCATTCATTCATCCATCTATCTTATCCATCAGATCCTATCTATCCATCTATCTATCTATCCATCCATCTATCCATCCATCTATCTATCTGGGTCGTTTTCATCAGATCCTATCATCTATCTATCTATCTATCATCTATCTATCCATCTATCTATCATCTATCTGAATCATCCATTCATCCATCTATCTATCTATCTATCTATCTATCTATCTATCTATCTATCTATCGAATGAGTCTGTTCAGATCTATCCATCTATCTATCTATCTATCTATCATCTATCTATCTGTTCCATCCATCTATCTATCTATCTATCTATCCATCTATCTATCTATCTATCTATCTGAGTCTGTTCAGATCGAATCCTATCTATCTATCTATCATCTATCTATCTATCTATTCATCCATCCATCCATTGATCTCGTGTTCAGATCCATCTATCCATCCATCCATCTATCTATCTATCTATCTTGAGTCTGTTCAGATCGAATCCCATCTATCTATCTATCTATCCATCCATCTATCCATCTATCTCTCTTCACCTATCCATCATCTATCTATCTATCTATCTATCCATCCATCCATCTGTTCATTCTATCAGATTCATCTATCCATCCATCTATCTATCTATCTATGACATTCCATCTATAAATCTATCTATTGAGTCTGTTCAGATTGAATCTATCTATCTATCCATCCATCTATATATATCTATCTGCATCGTTCATATCATGAGATCCCATCTATTCATCTATCTATCATATCTATCCATCTAAACATCTATCTATCCTGTTCATATCAGATCTCAGTCTCATCCATCTATCTATCTATCTATCATCTATCTATCTGTCTGAGTCAAAAATTCATATTCATCATATCTATCTATCTATCTATCTATCTATCTATCTATCATCCGGGTCTGTTCAGATTTTTTCATCTATTGTCATCATATCATCTATCTATCCATCTATCTATCTCCATCTATCTGGGTCTGTTCAGATCCTATCCATCCATCTATCTATCATCTATCTATCCATCTATCTATCCATCATCTGAGTCTGTTCCCATTTCCATCCATCCATCTATCTCTATCTATCATCCATCCATCTATCTATCTATCTGAGTCTGTTCAGATCGAATCATCTATCTATCCATCCATCCATCTATCTATCATCCATCCATTCATCTATCCATCCATCCATCTATCTGTTCAGATCATCCATCCATCATCTATATCCATCTATCTATCATATCTATCTGAGTCTGTTGAGAGTGAACCCATCCATCCATCTATCCATCTATCCATCCA